TGTGCACACACATGCATGCACACACAGTCAATAGTGTATCCTGCGACTCTAACATGCTCAGAGACCTAGCTGGAAACCATGCTTTTATTCTTGAAGGCTTATATTAACATGTAAAACATTGGCAAAGTTTTACTATAGGGAACTCAAGTTTCATACACTCAGTAGCTCATTACCCCAATTTTGAAATAATTTGTGTACTAGTGGGTTGGTAAGTATTGAAAATACTGAAGTCTCACCAACTGGGTCCCACCTTGACATTCCAAATCTTCAAGAAAAGTTCAGGCCTTTATGAGGTCAGGTCAGGGGAAAGCAAAGGGAAACATCTGGGAACCATTGTTTCCACCATGTTTACAGGAAAGAGATCAAAGGCCAACCACATGGCTTTAGAGGCAGACAGAACTGGGTTCAAGTTTTGACCCTATCGCTCACTCACAGGGGAACCTGAGCAAAGTTCCTATCCTCTTAGCCCAGTGTCCTCTTTTGCAAAATAAAGATAAAATTGCCTGCCTTTGAAAGTTACTGTGAAATTTAAATAGAAAAATGCACACAAAGAGCTGAGTATGTTATCAGGCATATTACAAAAGGTCTGTACATTTTTTTCACAATTGATCCTTTACATTCTGTGTTGGTTTCCTACGTCTTCCTTTTTTTCATTGAAATCTAGACAGTTATTTTAAACTGGAGGTATATTTCCATAAGCATAAATGTGAATGTTTTTTAATGGTTGGAAATGCTTGTTTTTAGCATGTGCTTTGGATTTATTTTCCTCATTAGAGTCACAGGTGTGTTGGTGAGTATGACTGTGTGTTAAGGCTGGTTTCATCAGTGACTCCTAAAAACCTTGGGAAGTTAACACCAGTCTTGGATAAATATTTTCTGATGGCCATTCTTGAAAAGAAATTCAGTTTGTTGTTCATTATGTGTAAAGAATTACATACCTAATAATAGTAACTTAAGTCCAATAGTAGTGAGCTTTTAAGAGATGCATCCTGATTCTTTCCAGTATTTGAGAATGATCAAAAGCAAGAAGCAGACTGGTAGAGGATAAAGGGTAAGGTCTCTCTATTTTGTCTGAACCACTGACAAATGCTGTTGGTTGAGTATCCTCTTTTTTCTTGCATTGAGTTTGGATCTCTATGTGCTTCAGATAAATCTATGTCCATTTCTTGCTATGAAAGGAAAGATGAATCTAAATTGTTTTTTCAGTACTGATGATTGAACCCAGGGACACTTCACCACTAAGCTCTATCCTCTTTTTATTTTATTTTTAGTGGGAACTCTGTAAGTTGCTTAGAGCCTTACTAAGTTGCGGAGGCTGGCCTTGTGATCCTCCTGCCTCACTTAGCCTCCAAAGTAGCTGGATTACAGGCGTGTTCCACCATGCTTGGCTCTGGATTATTTGTGACCATTCTTCTAACTGCACTCTTCCAGTGTTTGGTGTCTTAAGGAGCATGTAGCACTATAGCAGCCATTATCAGTGGAAGATTCTACAGAAGGGATCACTAGGAAAAGATCACACGTTCTGCAAAATGTCTGCAAAGAAGAGTTTGTCTCTTTTCTGGCTTTGTTTTGCTTATATGGAAATGTAATGTGCCCCATCCATATATTCCTTAAGAAAGACCACTTTCACCATTTGGTATCCCTGAGGGAAAGCCTTACATGATGAGACCAGTGCAGTGGAGAAAGAAGGTAAAGGTCTGGAACCCTGTTGTCATCATTAGCACTGAAGTAAGCAGTCTTAGAAATACCATTCTCTTCCACAGTGAAAGTGCTCTCAGTGGACCTCTCTGTTGTGTTTAAGCTGATAGGGCTGGGTCTTCTTAAACTTGCAGGTGAAGGTATCCCATATGAATTGCACACCAGCCAAAGAATACCAAACCAGAAACCTCTTGCAAGAAAATCATTCTAAGATCAAATGGAGTCACTATTCTCCGGTGTCTATGGCTGCCTTTGTTCAGGGAATGCAGAGTAATGATTTTTAATTTAGTCTGTTTTCTGTCTCAATACTTTTTTGAAAACAAGATTAACCCTCTGTGTGTCTATTGTTAATCTATTTTATTCTTTTGTTTTATTATTGACTTGCCAACAGCTTACCAAGAAATAATATTTTGTGCCCACATAAAATCTTTTGTCATTTTTATTTTTCCATATTATATAACTAAGTTACTTTTAGTTTCTTTAATATATTTATCAATTTATTTCTATTTTGTTTCTTTTTACCTCTTAATATTTATATTTTATTTTTCTATGTAATATTTTGATCCTTTTTTGCTTTCAGTATAGTTTATCTTTTAAATATATGCATGTGCATACATACTTTTGGAAGAGGCATGATGTAGTAGGAGAATCATGGCATTTTGTGTCAAACTGGTTTAAATTCTGGCTCTGGTCTGTCCATGTAGTTTTTGGCAAATTCCTTAA